CCTCTCTCATCTTTTTCAGTGGGAGAACTTGCACAATTGGTGGCTGACTAAATACTTTTTTCCCCCACTGTACACACACACACACACGTTGTGATTTGCTAATGCTGAGAATTTGGATCATAAGGATCACTGAGAGAAGGAATAACTGTTTAAAAAGATTATTTTTTCCCAGAGACCATGAAAATTGCTTGTCATCTGATGACACAGGTAGTCCCCAAGTTAAGAACATCTGATTTAAGGATGGCCCATAGTTAAGAACGGAGCCTATAGTAGCAAAATTCGAGTTAAATACACAATGGTTCAAGTTAATTACCCAATACTACTTACACAGTATTATACAATAATACTGTTCCAGCTTACATACAAATTTGACTTAAGGACAGACTTTGGTAATATAACTCGTTCTTAAATTGGGGATTACCTGTATTTATATTTCCACTGCTATAATGTGAGGTAGAAGACTGCTTTTCTTTTTTTAGAAAAAGCTATTTATATCACAGTTTTCATTTGTTGCTGTTGATGATATTCTAAACCTAGATTATAATGCAGTTTCTTAACTTTGGTAGATATCACACTGACCCAAAGCCTTGTGCTGTGTTTTTATTTTAGTAACACATTTCACATCCTGCGACCTACAAAAGCTCCAGGTTTTGTTTATGCTTGGTTAGAACTGATCTCCCATCGGATATTTATTGCAAGAATGCTGGCACATACACCACAGCAGAAGGTGTGGCTGTAGTTTATCTTCTCTTACTTATGAAGCTTCCACAGAATATCAGGATGCATCTTGGTTGTAGATTTTGGTTAAATTAAATGATTATATGGCTTTTGATGTAATGCACTTACCATCTTTCCATAAGGAAATGGCTAAGAAGCTCCATCTGTCATTTTAAGGACACCAAAACTCAATCCCATATCATGGATACAAGTTAATTATAAATAAATTTGGGCACATTTTCATTCTACAAGTTTTGTACATACAAAGCCCATTCGTAGAAATTCTACCATTTATGCTAGAACAATACCGTATCCACAGAGCTGCCAGGCTTAAGGCTGAATCCCATTCATCCCCTCAGCAGCACATCCTTAGTCTGTTCAGTTGACTTGGAATGTTCTTCTGCTCTCTGAGTTGTTTTGAATAATCAGCATAAGAAAAAAGAAAATAGAAAGGACTCCTTTGCAGATAATAACGAATTCTGGTGACCCGTCCTCCTCAAACTTTGGCCTTGAAGTCCTGTGACACAAGTCACTATTCAGATGGCCCTGGCCTTTGCCCTACGTGCCGTGGAGTCAGATACACGATGGATACCTGTATCCAGTGCCAGGCTTCTGCTGAGCAAGAGTACCACAACCAATTGACACAGCTGTGAGTGACACTCTGGAAAAAAAGGCTTGGAAGGCCACAGAATCCATATCTGCAGCAGTATTTTTGTCTATTGACCCCCACATCACATTGTCAGTTTCAAGTTTCCAGAAAAGTACTGGGATTTCCCATGCTCTTTCTCAGGACCATTCAAGTGAAACACTGTGGAGAAATCAATGATTAAAACCTTAGTCCCGATCAAGACAGAAAAGATAAAAGCTGCACGTTAATCTCCCTCAACCAGAACCCAAAAATCAGACTGCCTTGCCTTGTCATTCATCCCTTTACTACTGGCACCTCTAGTTGTGAGCCTTCCACTTGCCAGAGGCATTGAAATAACTTAAGATCAAGACTCCTTAATCTGAGACTTTTAGGCCCAAGGTAGGCATTCTCCAGTCAGATATGGACAATAGCCTACCTGTGCTCCCAGTATATTCTTCACAGGGATCAAAGCTACTTTGCTTTGAAAGGAAAGGATTATGCTTTGAAAGCTACTGTAGTTCCATCAGTAGTTCAATTTATACTAGCACCTGATGCTAAAGTAGGGAATCAGGCTTTCTTGAAAGAATCTTGCTATATAGTGAGCAGATTTTTATATAGCAAAGTTTTTTGGTTTATCATCCAATACAGGATGATCCAGCTCTCTCCTAGCTCTCATCCCAATGTTTCAAGTTTTGTTAAAAATATCTAGGTTTTCATGGGTTAAGTTGCCACAGTGCCACCAGCCTCTTGCAGTATAGGGAATCTATAGCCTGTGTGATGATGGGTGTCAGTTTTGTTTCAGGACACATGATCCAGATATTCCAGTTGAGATCCCATCGCCAATAACACTTTGTAACAGATGAAGAGGGAAGAAAAGTGAATGGTTGTGGACACACATGTTCTCAGGAGCAGTTATCAGGCATGCATGGCAAAATAACAGTATCTCTCATTGGAGAAAGTGTTTCAGAAGACAAATACCAAATTGACCAGTTTTTCTAGATAGAGCTGACATGTTTTTCAAAGGAGGAATTGAATATATGACAAGTGGTATCAAAGACAGTGATGAAGATCATAACCACAGTCATGCTTTGCTCTCTTAGCCATACTAAAGAAGTCCAGGAGTTGCTTTTCAATGATAACGAAATAATGGCTTGTTTACTGTGAAGACTAATGATGCCTTGGATGGAGTTCAGAAATTATACACTATGGTATATAAATGGAGTCTTCAATACTTTTCCGTTCCCACCTATAGCCTTGTAGTCATGCAGGTCATTCTGTTAGTATTCTCCCAGAGTTCATTGGTATCATCATCTTGCCCAACTTAACAGAACCTAGGCATTTGGTTCGACCTTCTCAGCAACATAGCCCCACTTCTGCTGTTTGGTGATTGGTTGGCCCAACTCTAAGATACTGTAATCACACCAAGTTTTGAACAAAACAATGTGTCCTTTCAGTTCCCAGCATTCCAAACTTGTGTGTGAAAAGGGGCAATTGAATGTGTTTCCTCTGGGGATAGTAGACTCAAGGTACTTGTCCCTAAAAAGGATGGTGTCTGTGACTCATCCTGGATCCTTGGGACCTCAGCATTTTTTGATACGGGCTCATTTTTAATAGCTGCCAATTTAACTCTTGTGTACCAGGGTGTAGTTATATCTATATGAGAACTATTTTCATAACTCAATAATATACATTCCCATAATACAGATTGCCCATTTTGTGTCACTTTTTTCTTTAGCCACAGGTTTCCCAAATGTGTGGCAGTGATAGCGGTGGCATAGCTAGTCCATAAAGCTTGCTTAAATTAAATTAAATTAAATTAAATTTGGGCAATTGACATCCCATACTGGGTGTTCTGGGCATTTCTTCTGTGTTTTTGCTTGACTTGAAGCTTTGAATCAACTTTGAAAAGTGTCATGGGCTTCTCAGAGACTGAAAAGGTAGATACATTTGCAAAACATTGCTAACTCATTATTTGCACACTAACCCTCCATTATCAGGAAAAAAGTTTGTTATCTTCCTTGTCCATCTAACAATTTTTAGTGAGAGAATGAAGAACCCCTCATCCTAGCAAATTTAGGGATGAATTGGGTTCTCTCACTGGCTGGGGAATTCTCTCTGTGATGACTGATACTACCCTTCCTCATAATCGATGTGCTCACCACACAGTGAGGTGCATATTTGCAGTCCTTTTGCATTCAGGGTTTCTGGTCAGTAGTCAAGGCATTCCTGGTATATCAATGGACCAGAGCTGTTAGTGGTCTAGAAGGCACTGGAAGGCTTACTCTAAGGTCAATCCAAGTCAAATCAGACAAAAGCGATAGCTGTCTAGAAAATGGCACCAAACCACTTTCAAAATCTTGCCCTAGAGCTCTGAGTTTGGTGAGTGCTTGGGTGCAGTCCTGTTAGCGATGACCCACATGACGGGAGAGAACTGAATCAACCGCAGCTCTGCTGGTTCAATCTTGTGATTAATCTCTTTGCAGTAGCGAACACCTCTGCTTCTGCAGCAGTCTTGTTGATGCCTTTCTGTTCTCTGGGACTTGTCCCACTTATATCTCCTTTCCCCAGTCCACTGTTAGATATCCACGATAATCAAAAGAGCCATGAGATTTGACAAAAGGCATTCTTTTATTCCTTAATGCCCTTGCTCCACTGCTATGAGTAACTCATCCAGATTATCTCTGTTACGCTCCTTTGAAGACATTATCACCACCAACTCAATTTGCTTCTGACTTTCCTCCTGTTTCAAATAAATGAAATTCTGTAGGCCCACAGGAAATCCTTCCCCAGGAACTACATAGAAAAGAAAAGACTTTATACTGAATAAGCAGAGAAGTAGCATTTTAACCCTCTGTGGGGCCATATCATTCATGTTTGGGTTTTTCTACTAAGTGTGAAACTGTATGGCTTAGTTTTGTCTTCCTTGAAATGTTTTTGATTGTCCCACTTTTCAAGGATATATCTTTTTTTTTTTCTAGTTAAGCGGTTTATCAAGAGTTTGAACCACCTCTTTATGCCAACATCCCATCCAGTTCCAATTATGCAAACCCTATCCATTTGCTTTTCTTGATGGGTACATGTTTAGTGAGCCAACATATTGGCACATCATAGGGCACACCTTTTCTTGCTTTGAAATCTTTGCTCAGACATTACTTTGTGTCAAAATCCTTTTTTTTTTTTTAGTTTTATTTGGGGTAGGGCATTATTTTGCCTATCTCTAATTCTTCAACACCAGCATATTTTCAATGTGCAGAAGGCACTAACTATTTTTTCATATAGAAGTGCAGTGCTTCAAAGGGACCAGTGGTGGTTCTGGAGTTTTCAAAGTCAATCCAACAGTTTAGGAGTGTTGCGCCACAGTGGCCACCGTAAAACTAGCTAAGCAGCAGTGCTCACATGATATGTAGTGTCATCCCACAAAGACAGTGACAACATCTGCAGCTCTTTGTAAAACGTCTCTGCCACAATTGTGTCAAACAGCTGTCCGGGCCCAGCATTCTGAGTTGGTACAGCTCTTCAGTCACCAAGAATTGCAGCATTTGGTGGATCACTCTGCCTTACGAATGGCTCAACTGAATAAGGGGCTGTTCTGTGAATCACAGAAACTCCGGTGAAGAACTGTCACTTGAATATAACAAAGGACTGTGAATGGTCATGCATGCTTGCACATAGTCTGCCCTCCAATCCTGCTTTGTGTCGCCATTTTTCCTCATGATTAAAGTTATTTTCTGCCACACTCTCAGAGGGGATTAGCATGGTCCATGCCTTGCATATATGATATGCAGAGAAAATGGGACTTCTGCCAAAAGTCTGCATGCTTCAGGAGGTTTTGAATGGGATCTGTGTAAGTGCAAAAAACCATATGCATGTATGTATAAATGATTCTCAACCCAGTTCCAGGTAAGTAACCAGTTTTTGTTTGGCCAAGTTAACCTGTTAGTGATTAGATTCATTAGCATATGTCACTTTTGAGGAAATATATCAAATACTAACAGGAAATGTGATTTACCCTTTACTTTTCAGTCAGTTCACTCTAGCCTTGAATTTCAAATAGAAGTTTGATACAGCTGTCAAGGCTGTAGACCAGTGCTTTCCAAACTTTTTTCTTCATTACCCAAAACTGCTCATCAGAAAGTTCTTTTTACTTAAGTCAATTTAAATGTTCCTATTGTGATAGGTAATGGGTTCGTGTGTTGTTGCCCAAAGAAAAACCACTTTTGCCCAATTTTGGATAATTTACCCAGATTTGGGAAGCACTGCTGTAAACAATCTGTTATGTCTTTCTGTAGCTTTTTGGCCAAATTTGGCAAAAATCAACCTAGGCAAGCTGATTCATTGTTCCACCTCCCTCAAACAGAGCCCCAAACTCTGGGGAAGCTCTTCTTGTACACTTCTAGACTGATTTCTGGGAGGTCCAAGATCTTTAAAATTGTGATGATATGCTGATGAATACAAATTGGGGATTCCCCTCACCGGGGAAGTGTTAGAAACATACTAGCAAAAATGACATTACTCTCATTCCTTAATTTCTCTTTATAGGGTTGGCCCATGTATGCACAGCTCTTGATTGACCTGTTTAAATATTTGGCTCCTTTCCTGAGAAATGTGGAACTTGCCAAGCCTATGCAAATCTTGTACAAGGTAAATTAGGTGACCATTTGGGGAGGGGGAGAAGGAAATTGGAACTGACCAGAAGAAAGTTGAATTGCTAGTGAATCCCTATATGAAACTGAAGGAGTTAAGAGTCCTTTTCCTCACAGTTTCCTATGTAAAGATTGCTGTAATATTGTTTGCAATTTTTAAATCCAGCTGAAATCAAAGAGTTTTAATACATGTATGATCTGATTGCTCATTAATGGCACTTCTAACAAGATTCGGTTTAGTGATGGTTTCGAGGATTTTTCCAGCATGACTAACTGCAACTCATTGGTAGAACATTCAACTCTTAGTTTCTCCCGGAGAACGATCTGTCTGTTCCACGGATAGATCTGCCTGGATCTTAAATGTTGAGGGATGAATCACTGTGGTTCCTCACTGTACCATCAGAGCTAGATACAGGGCTGATAGCGCCTTATTTCCTTATTTTCAAATTGTACTAATGGAATTGGTGCAATGCAGATATATTGTAAATTACTCCAAATATCTCCGCATTAGGTTTGGGGAGGCTGAATCTGTGAGAGAATGTCTAATTACCTAAATGAGATTCAAATCAGAGATGTTTTACCTTATTGCAATTCTGCTGCCACGTGTGCCTGTGTGTGCCCTCACAGTCAGTCAGTCAGTCTTTCTCTCTCTCTCATATGTGATAGATTGGTAATTTCTCCTCTTGATGTTTTCATAGGGAACACTGCGTGTGTTACTGGTATTATTACATGATTTCCCAGAATTCCTTTGTGATTACCACTATGGATTTTGTGATGTGATTCCTCCAAACTGTATTCAGCTAAGGAATCTGATTTTGAGTGCCTTCCCGCGTAATATGAGGCTTCCTGACCCCTTCACTCCCAACCTTAAGGTAAGGTACCTGGAACTGCAAGTTCTGTAACACTGAAAAACTTAAGACTATGTTAAGTGTGTTACAGGTAGTCCTTGTTTAGCAACTGCTTCATTTAGCAACCCTTTGCAATTAGGACATTGATGAAAAAGTGACTTTATGACCAGTAGTCACATTTACGACCTTCGCAGGCCTGAAAAGCAAAGGAAAGGTGAAGGAAGATCATAAGCACAGTCATTTCACTTAGCAACCGCTTCACTTAATGACCAAGTTACCGGCCCCAATTGTGGTCGCCATACGAGGACTACCCATAATGCATCTTCCTTCTCAAGTTTCTTCAATTTAGTAAATTGGGGTTAGGCTGGTGTGGGTCTTCCGGGCTGTGTGGCCGTGTTCTGGAAGTTTTGTTTCCTAACGTTTCGCCAGCACCTGTGACCAGCATCTTCAGAGTGCAGGAGCACAGGCAGGAGCAGTTCTCTCTGTGCCCAGGGTGATGTGACCCTTTTGTGGGTTTTTATTGAGATCCGAGGGGGGGAGGGATCTATAAATACCCACGAAAGGGTCGCCTGTGCCTGGGCACAGAGAGAACTACTCCTGTCTGTGCTCCTGCACTCTGAAGATGCTGGTCACAGGTGCTGGCGAAACGTTAGGAAACAAAACTTCCAGAACACGGCCACACAGCCCGGAAGACCCACACCAGCCATCGTATGCCGGCCGTGAAAGCTTTCAACAATAAATTGGGGTAATCTTGAATCATCCTCATTGGGAAGCATCTCCCACTAAAGCATGTGGGCAGGGACAACTTACTTCTGAGGCTGTTCTACATTTTCAGCTAAAATTGAAGTTAAAGTTTCCTAAGAGGTCAACCATCTAGTTAATTTTACTATTTCTTTGCACTCTGTCCCTCCTGCCATCCAGATCTGAGATTTTGGTCTCTCAGTTTGCAGTCTGGTTCCCTTTAGGTCTGGTAGACCTCTGCTCCACCTTACTTTTCTGTTATTTTTTTTTTATTATTATTTCTTTCAAAAGCATGCTGCAAACAAAGCACCAAGTGTCATCATTAGTTCAATTTCATGAATGCCTCTCTGTCCCACATGAGCCATAGCATGATGGCTGCAATCCAGAAGAGTGTTTGGAACACATTCCACTGTTTACTGAGTGAACTGACAGGGAGAGTGGGTGGGCAGAGGAGATGATGACTGGGGAAGAACCAGGGAGGTAGAGAACGCACACCCATTTTCACTGCTGATTGTTTCCTGAGTGCTTGCGATGGGAGCATTACTTGTTGCTGACCAAGCTGGGGTAGTTTCAGTGGACATAAGGAAGCCAGCTCCCCAGAGAGTAAGCAAACCAGAGTTCCGGAGTGAAGGCAGATTTTCTTTTTCCATCAGAGGAACCTAGAGATGCAGGGAACTGCTCTTGTGCCCTGCAGGAGAGGCACCATGTTTGTTTTCTTCCCTGAAGGCAAGAACTGTACATGCTGTAAGAGCAGTCTGATTCCCTTCCTAAAAGAGAGGAAAAGATTCACCCTCCTTCTTTTACAGTGAAGATGAGGTATTCTTAAATGGGAGGCGTGAAGAGCTTGCAGAGAGACCACAATGCCGAGATACCTCTCAGAAAGCAGAAAAGGCAAATTGGAGGGAACAGAGAAATAGAGGAATGTGACACAAAAGTCTCTTCAGACTTCAGGCTAGATAACGGCCTCAGGAAGCGCAGTTGCTACAAGCCTCAACAACTGTGAAAGAGGACCCCTGCAGGAAGAACTAGAAGTGTTAGTTCAGGAAAATGTTACTGAAACCTGCTGGGACCACACTCCCAAGTGTAAGGCTTGAAAGGTAATTCTTAAAAAGGAATAGGCAAGACTAGAGAAATGGCATAACGTATGAAGGAAATGCACACAGATATTCTGGTCTAGAGCACAAGGGTGCAGTTGATAGCACTGGTGATACAAGGAAGAGGAAAAAACAAAGATATTTTTGTGGGAGTGTGTTATAGATCACCAAGCCAGGCAGTAGAAATGGATAATTCCTTCCTTGACCAAAACACAAAACTTTCAGAGAGAAGAGACATCATGGAAGATTTTAATTACCAGGACATCTGTTGGAAAACCAGCAAAGTTCCCCAAAACTCAGTGGTCTTGCAGTCATTTTCCAGAAGCTTGAAGAAAACACAAGGGGATTCCTTCTCCTAGATCTGATCCTAACCAGTAGAAAAGAACTGGTTGAAGAAGTTAAATAGCGGGAACTTTGGGAGACATCTTGGAGTTCACAATACTATAGAAAGAGAAGTTGGAGCATAATTCTACATACACACTAGATTTTAAGAAAGTCCATTTCAGCAAGCTTAGAGAAGTACTAAGCAAGGTCCCATGGATGAAAACAAAGGGAGCACAGAAGAAATCTGCATGGTGGGCTGCTTGGAATAGCTTTTCTGGAATCTCCTGGGCCTTTCTATAAAAGTCTTTGTACTACTTCTGTCTGAAGCCCCTTGGCTTCCTTCCTTTCTGTTAAATAACAATATTTAAATAATAAAAACATTGGAATCTTTGGTGCTCTCTGAGCTTGGTTGTTTGATTGCAGACATTCCATTATCCAACTAGGTAATCATCAGTGCTCATAATAAAAACATTGCTTTTGTCTCATTGTACACTGCTGAGCTGAGGCCTGTATTGTAATGCATTAGCAGAGGGAGAGTATTAATAATGAGCACGGAACACTTAAGTAAACTATGAATGAAAATATTGCTAAAGGAAAAGCTAACATCTCTTGCAGCTTGTGTATATCTTACACCAAATAAAGTAACTCTATGCTATTTAGAAAACATGATAACCACAGTCTTTCAATGTTGTTTGTTGTGTGCATTCTTGACAGGTTGACATGCTGAGCGAGATTAATATTGCTCCACGGATACTCACCAATTTTACTGGTGTGATGCCACCTCAGTTCAAGAAGGATTTGGATTCATATCTCAAAACTCGTTCTCCGGTCACATTCCTGTCTGACCTGCGCAGCAACTTGCAGGTGGGACCTTTGTTCAAGATTAAATTTGTGGTGAGAGTGGACACTGACACACACTCCCGTGTCCTGAATTGAATGCAGATGTCTCATTAAGCAGAAGGTCTAACCCAATCCTAGTCCATCACACTTCAGTCTCCCCTGGAAATGTTTAAAAGCTAGCAAGGTTTAGGCTTCACTGCATTACATACTTAGTATGTTCCAAAGTATGTTTGTTTTTAAAATCCTGTATATTTAAGTTGTAAAGTTGTTGCCAGATGCATGGTAGGGAAAGTTGAGAAGACTACTTGCTCCCAGAACCAAAGTCTTGCAAAGCTTTGTCAAATTTCACTTTTTGTTCAAACTCTATTCCAGTTGAAGGTGGTTCTTCTCCCTTTGTATTTGTTCCCCCAGGTATCAAATGAACCTGGCAATCGTTACAATATTCAGCTGATAAATGCCCTGGTGCTTTATGTCGGTACTCAAGCTATTGCACACATTCATAATAAGGGCAGCACACCTTCTATGAGCACCATCACTCATTCAGCCCACATGGACATCTTCCAGAATCTTGCTGTTGATCTGGACACAGAAGGTAAAATCAGAAGCAGTATGGGGTTTGTGAACAAAGCTGCAGATACGACTTTATTGGTACTGACCATCTTTTACTTTCCACATTAAACCCCCAGTTTACATTTAACCACAACTATTTCACAACTAAAGTAAACCACAATTATTTCAGAGGTTGTTTTGACTTATACTGACCACAGGGAGGATGATTGTTCTCATTCTGTTTGGGACTCATGTGAAACCTCACAGGTGAGGTCATGGCATAATGTAACATCCATATATCTTTCTGGTTTGAGAGCTTAAGAAAATTAAGGTAGACTGTATATACCATTCTAAAGAAAGAGAATGTTGATGAATTAGGCTTCATTTGGCCACTTTTCAGAAAATTTTGAAGGGGTGGATCTGCACTGACCTCCAGGGGTATAGACATTCCCAATTGTGGCCTGCCATCTAGCCCACTTCCCCCTAACTTCAAATAACATTGGGAGAGTACTGAGCCTTCTGGAGCAACCACAGCCTCAAGCGTTGCCCCCTGTGATTATACTCTGGAACTGTCCACTCAGGTAGGAGTGGAACCACCAAAGAAAACAGCTCCAACTCCTGCAGTGACCCAGCACGATACCATGGTCATTGATACTGAAAGCCGCCAAGAGACCTATGTGGACGAGGAGGGGTACCATCCTCCAAGGCAACCATTTCTACCCCATGTCTAGTTTGAATCCTGATTGCCAGGAATCCAGATAATCTGTTTCTTCCAGGTCACCATCAGTACCCATTATCCCTAACAACTGTGGAGATTATGGGAGATTATGTACCTGGGGAAGGCTTGTTTCAGAGAGTCCAAGTCACGCACTATCCAAGCAACCTATTTTTCCTTTGACTGCCCACCCTGCATGGACTTGTCTGCTGGTCATCAGTCTGTTCTCCAGCCCTTGGTCAGAAAAGAAGCTGTTGCTTTCAGGTCCATAAAATGTAGCTTCCGATACAGCTAGGAAGTTTGATGTCATAAGCCAGCTGTTTGCATTGTGTGCTTCTAACTGGATCCTGGGGTAGGGTGAAGGATCATCATGTCAAACTCGCACCAGTTACATGCTTGAAGCTGAAGAAATTCCCTCTGGCATTTGACCTAATTTCCTGAAGAGTTTGTTGACTCTCCTTGCTCCCTGCTGAGACGTAGCAAAAACAGGGCCTCTCAGGGCCTTTCTCTGTCTCTGTGGCACTACAAGACACAAGCCATCCTGTGTCTTGTAGTGCCACAGAAAATGAGGAGTTTGTGGATGGCAGAAAGAATGGCTGACTCATTTGGGTTGTGTGAAGCCGGTCAATTTCTGAACCTCTTCCAAGCTTGCAGCACAATTTAGCATACCAAATTTGGTGCACTCAGTGGTACATGAAAGGAAATCTCTCTTTTCTACCTTTCTCTCTTGGTGTTCTGACCCAGGTCGGTACCTCTTCCTGAATGCGATCGCCAATCAGTTACGGTATCCCAATAGCCACACTCACTACTTTAGCTGCACCATGCTTTACTTATTCGCGGAAGCCAATACAGAAGCTATTCAAGAACAGATCACCAGGTAAGTCACGAAGGGAACTAGTAGAAGATGCGACTGTCCTGTGTGATATTCAACAGCTAAGCACTGCCAAAAGTTGCAAAAAAAAAAAAAACTTTAACCAAAGGCTGGATCATGCCAGATAAGCTTTAAGGGGAGAGCAGGCTCCAAATCTAAAACTAAGATGTTGGCAGTCTCCAATATCCCTGCAGGAATGGCTTATTCCATGAGTTATTCCTGTTCACTCAGAAAGGTTTTGTAATTGGTACTGCTAAATCATGTGTTTTGCCTTTTTTTTCCATAACTTAATTTCATCTTGGTTTTTTTTACAGGGTTTTGTTAGAACGACTGATTGTAAATAGGCCTCATCCCTGGGGTCTCTTAATCACCTTCATTGAATTGATTAAAAACCCAGCATTTAAATTCTGGAACCATGAGTTTGTTCACTGTGCTCCAGAAATTGAAAAGTGAGTAAATTTGAAGTGTCATGACTTTGTATTGGGAAATTAAACCATTTGTCTTGAAATTAAGTTCTTTCTCCTTGTTGTAGGCTGTTCCAGTCTGTTGCACAGTGTTGTATGGGGCAAAAACAGGCACAGCAAGTAATGGAAGGAACTGGAGCGAGTTAGAAGAAGCAAACTTTGTGGAAACGATGCCAGCCTGGAGATCTCTATCAAGCTGACAGAAGAATATGGGTGGGTCTGCCTAGACCTTGGCGCTGCCTTCCCCTCCCCATCCTGGGCTTACACCACAGGTCTTTTTGCAAGAAATCTCCTCATTCTTGGGCATGTTAAAGTTGAAAACAAAGTTTCCGACTCTTGGCCAAAATTCAGAAGATGCTGTGAATATAATTTTGAACTATTGTAAATACACAGAACAGAAATATTTGTTGGAACTTTGGATTTGTGCATATTGTGTTTCAAGAGAGGCACATAACGTGTGCCTGACCAGCTTATAATAAAGTGGTGGCTGCTGATGCCAAGCACTTGTCTGGGGCAGATCTGCTCGTCCGACATTCCCGGACTCCCAAAGAGTATGGAAAAGCCAGTTTAAATATTATGTAACTTATTTTTCTTGTGGGTGGGGACTTCTAAATCACAAAATTCTCAACAACAACAAAAAAAAGGATGCTCAGGATCCTATGGAATATTAAGGGGAATGCGGGAGAGTGGTTACTGTTGGGATCCAGGATGTTGCTTTTCCCATATCAAATGCTGCCACCAGAGCCGGCCAATGGAGTCGGAGAAGTCCTTAGCAAAGAGAAACCTCAAGCCCTGTGGGAGAGGGCTGATCGTTTTAGCAAGAGAAACAACCAGGCCTGTAGATTTTCTTTCTTTACGCTTGTAAATTTGGGAGGGGGAGGATGTGAATCTATTAACTGCTCCCCTGTGGCCACAAAGTTTGAGTTTGTAAAAAGAACAAAAAGGACCAATACAGCCCATTTTGTAAGGATTTTGAATGTTTTGTAAATGTATTGGTCCGTGTGTTGTATTTTGTAGCCTTTCTAGTTCTCTTGGGCTTTAGTTCTCCCACTTCTTGTATGTATGCCTTCTGTAGTTAAACATTAAAGTCATGACAAGCAGCAAATGTCTTTTGTTCTCTCAACACCTTCCACATAGGATGTTGGTGTTGCTCATTACAGCTCATCTGAAAAGCAGAACATTTTCATTTTATTTTTAAGCTAGCAGGGAAATGGACACAATATTAAAAGGATTTTTTTTTCATTACATGAAGCCAAAATTGAGACACCACTCAAGGTTAATTATTTGTTCAAGATGCACAATACTTAGTCATTTTGAAACTCTGGGGAATGAGGTAAGATGACTCTGGTGTTAATTAAACTAAAAAGAAGCTAAGGATTCCCTCAAGTTGAAATTTTCTTCACAGCCTTATGTAAGTGGTTTGCTGTTATCTTGTGAGATGTACAGTGTGTTCCTGGTTTCCAGGTGACATCCAACTGAAGTATGAACCAGGTCTGAACCTTCTGCCATCAGCCAAGGTCAGCTAGCAGGTTGAGCTCAACTCTCAATGACTTTATGGTCATGTCCTTGTAGCTTTCTTGGCTGCAATACAGAAGTCGTGTGCTGTTGCCTTCTTTATTTTCCAGTCTACCTCACATCTATGAAATAAACACAGCACCTTATATATTCTTTATTCAGAAAGAAGACCTGGCCTCTTCAGTGGAAGATTCCAAGCAAAAAGGCACCTAATTGAAGTAAAAAATGCAAATGCCTTACCTTACATCCTATAGTTATGTATTACATTGTGTGAGATTTACCCTTAAGTAGGTTTACAGTTTCAGAAAGTATACTTGCATCTAGGGAGTGGGCAGCATTCACAAGCAACTGGGTGCTTATAATGAGAATGACATCTTTCAGCTGCATTTTAGTTGTCTACAGTTTCTCAAGGAGTTGACCACTCCCTATAAAAATCATACCATCTTGTTTTGAAAATGTTTTCCCTCATTCCAGAAGAGGAGATACTTTACTTTGCCCTGAATTTCCAACTGAGGTTTTGTTGATCACATTTTAAAAATATTTGGAGGCAGACCATGTATCCAAAAAAAACAGGCACAGCAAAGGAAGGTTTATTTTCAGCTGCTGAAGCTCATTCAGAACCAGGAACATCCCTGAAAGTGCCAGAAACAAGACAAGGGGGAAATTCTGCAGAAACACCATTTGCCAGTGATTTGAACCAGCCCTTTCTCAGCATGTCACTTACATAATAGTGGGATGTTGTGTTCATTTAAACTATGGTATCAGTAAAAGATGAATGTGCATGTGTGGAATGCTATCTGGATGCCTGTATGTTCTCAAATTTGGGCAATAAACCATTATTTGTGGTCTTCGCTCCCACCATTTTGAAGGGCAACATGTTGTACTATCCCACATTACAGCACTCAGTAATGTGTACGGCGCATTTGCCACCCTTTCTTACAACCCACTTAAACTCCACAAATTTCATTAAGTCATCCTTTCTCTCCATGTCCTAAATGTGTCTTTTGCAGCATCTGAGGTTCCCAAGACCATGGTTACTTCAATTAATCTAAAATGGATTATGGAATTTTTCTTGAGGCATCCATAACTTTTAAGGAATATTATGGGTCTTTCTTACTTGTCCCAAAGCATGACACAAACATACCTGAGTGACATTTTTCTGTATCATGATGTTGCTTCCATATCATCCCAAAGACAACTTAATGTCATGGTTAGCTGTTCCAACTTTATGGTAATTTCTTTCTCCCATCACAGTGTGGATGTCTGGTTGCTGAGACTCAGGGTTGGGAACTTCAAGCTGCTGCAGAACCCATTGGTTCCTGTACACCGCTTTCTGTGGCCATATTGGCAGTGGGTGATCAGGCACCCAGCTTCTGCAGGGGCATCTACCTGCTGAGACCAACAAATGCTTGTCAGGTCTTCCATGGGCTCCTTACAAACACGGGCTTAGTGCAAGATGATTTACTCATGCCCGCTGGCCAGTGCGGGGAGGGGGGGAGGAGATTTCCATTTTGCCCATCTATTCTGGCTTCAGTGGTACCAGGTGCCATTGTGATGACTTGTATTATATATGCGCCCAATTGCACAGATCAGGAAGTCCACTGTGGTGTGCATATTCCCCACAGGTCACAACACTAGTGGGGTGGTGCTCCTTGACTATAGCACTGTTTCTCAACCCAGATTAATCATGCTGCCAGAAATATTCAGCAACAGTCTAATAAGATCCAAAGGAGGGGTTACAAGGAGCTCCTTCCTGTGCCCCATCTACTGGACAACTCGACGGGTAGTTAAAGCTACCAGTTTAAAACTATGTCTAAACTTAATAGTTTTCTAAGTGGCAAGTGACGCTCTGTAGATGGGGAGTTTTTATTTATACGTTTATAAAATGTGTAGCTCAACCTAATAAATAAGGGTTCTAGGCAGGGTGCAACAAAGTTTATATAGGTGTGTATAAAAGTATCACATATACCTTGATATAGCCCCACCAAAGAAACCCAAATTAAATGGCCCTTGACTGGTCCCATACTGGAATCAAGGCCAGCACCACTGGCCAACCTCATTAGTGCAGTCAAACTCAACTAAATGCACAAGCCCTAGCAATGAAAAGGACACTAGTCACCTAGAGGTTTATTTTTGTGGGATACCAATAGGACGTCAAATTTCAACAAGAATTTGAAACATCATGCATTCTACTGGAACCTTTGAGTGTTAGCTGATACAACTCCCCTGAACATTTTTCCATACGTTTAAATCCAGGACACCATTAAAATTCTAAACATGTTTTCATCTTCTACATCTTTTTCCCACTCCCAGTGGCATTTTAAACTATTTTTTTAATTAAATCTTTATTGGCTTATAAAATTTAACACAAACAGATACCTAACAAACATAAAATGAGAAGAGCAAATACAAATAAAAAAAAAAACACAAACATTTTTAAAAACAGGGTTTCCTTCTAACTAAACAGTGAGTTTTAACTATTTACACGTCTTCTTCTTTTCTTGGTTCCTTCATCTTGTCTCTGTTTCTATTTTATTCACAATTCTTACTTATTACTCTAAATGTTCATCTGTATGGAGTATATTGTTTCCATGTAGCCAAAAAAGGGTTTCCAATTTGTTATAAAGTCATCGACATCTTTATCTTTTAGCTGGTCAGTCAATTTAGCCATTTGAGCAATTTCCAAAGATTTAAGTAACCATTCCTTTAGGGTTGGTACATTTTCCTCTTTCCATTTAGTTGCATAGACGACTCTAGCTGCGGTGATCAGATGTAATAGAAGATTTCCATGCTTTTCCTCAATTTCTTCGTCCATAAATCCGAGTAGGTTCAGTTCAGGTTTCTTAATCATTTCCATTGACCATATTTTGCAAATATTTTTATGTATTTTATGTACCCCAATATTTTTTGACTTTTGGACACATCCATCACATATGGTATAAAGTACCAATTTCCTTTTTACACTTCCAACATACATTCGATATTGTATTATACATTTTATTTAATTTATCAGGGGTTATGTATCACCGGTACATCATTTTATAAAAATTTTCTTTCAAACTGTAATTTAATGTAAATTTTAACCCTTTGGTCCACATTTTTTCCCATAATTCATAATATTATAGCCAAAATTTTTCTCCCATTTTTTCATACAATCTTTATTTTGAACTTCCCTCCTTTTGACTTGTAATAACATTTTATATATTTTGGCTATCATATGATCATTATTTGTATTGATTTGAGTGTCCCACCATGATAATTCTTTTGTAAATTTATAACTTTTGATATCTATTTTAAATTGTTCTTTCAACTGGAAATATGTGAACCAGTGGCACGGGTACCCCTCCTTTTCCAATTCCTCTCTTGTTTTTAATCTATACGACAATCCTTCCCAGTTTAGTAGTTTTGAATATCTCAACCATTTATAATTTCCTACATTATCCCATCTTGTAAAAGCTTCTTGTGGAGAGATCCAGAGCGGAATATTTGGTGTTA